GGATCTTGGTAAATATAAAACATTTCCATTACATTTACAGAAATATGCTGAACTATTAATTTCTTAGTGAATAGCTATTCTATTGTTCCAGAACTTGTAAATCCACTTTCTTTTATTGGTCTTCGAGACTTAATACTAAAGGACATGAAACAATGTTTTAGAGGTTTTCTATTTGGAGTTAAATGAATATGTGGAACTTTTCTGCAGCCACATCCCTCTCATGTCTTATTTTCGGCGTGCATTCTGCTTGATAGAAATTGTAAGATATATCCCAACTTTCCAAGCCATTTTTCAACCACATTTATTCTTTTGGCTTGGATCTTTTCTGCATAACTTCATTAAATTTAAATCTTTAAATGATGTAATGCAGTTCTTTTAATTTGAGCAATCGTTGAGTAACAACACTAAGAGAATAAAAAGTTTCGGTATGCCGAACTAATGTACTTTCTTTCTTTGGAGAGATATGCGTCGTGAAAATGGCGTGGTCTCCGGGGCGCAGTATTTTTGTTTGGTTTTTACGGATAGCTAGAGCAAATGGACAAATCTAAATGTACGCTGTATAATAGTTGATGATTTAAAAAGTTGTACGTGAGAAGGTATTTTGGTTACGTTAGCTCATCTAAAGATCGTCATTTTGATATTGTTCATTTGACGCGCGTCGCTCCTGTTGTTGCAAGTTGACAGCAAGGCTCCGACCTTTGGTTCCTGCGATAGTATACAGCATTCTTGCGTCCAGTGAACGATACTTTTTACCGCGTTTTACTCCAAAATACACCCATGTACTTACATTCACTACACTACCACACATGTTGGGAGACCCGTCGGGTGCTGAGAGCTTGTCCTGTCCGGGGCAATTCCCCGCTGGTGGGAAGTACCTGATTGGCAGAAACCCCGCCAGCTGGTGTGTAGGACAGCATTAGATTTCGCCATCCAGCGGGAGAAGACCACAGCCACGTCCCGTAATAAAACATTCACTACACTTATGGGACTAATGATCGTAGCATTTGACGTGCCGAAAATTTAAATCAAAAGACAGTCACCATAGCGGCGCTCTGAGCAAGCTCTCTACTCCCGCGTTGATGCACAGTCGCCTTGTTCTTCACCCGCATTGAAATGCTACAGAACCCACCCTCGGCTCCGCGTTGAACGTTTAAATATCTACACAGTAGAAATCACTTCATGAAAAGTCGGATACGTCACATAAGAACCGAACCATAAATGCCGGGGAATTTTCCAAGAAAACATTAATCGTCCATCGTGCTGGAACAAAATACACCACGAAATTCTGATCTCTGGTCACCGTGAATCACATCTTCTGAATCTAGTTCATTTTACGCTTTGAAGCAATTGGAAGACAAACAATAAAACATTACATCCAATTCTGTTTATATTCATCAAACAAATAAGGCATTGTATGATTGATGTATTGGCATATTAAACGATATGTTTTTATCTTTGGAAAGAACAATCTCGAGTTCATGCGAACATTGTTAAATTTTCTTTAATTTTACTTATATGTTAATAATGTTTATCAGTTCACGAGATTTCAGTTCAGGAAACGAAAAATGCTGTTTTTAATATTTTTTATAAAAGACGTACATTTGAAATGAAATAAAATAAAAAAAAACACTAGAGAAAATAGAATGTGATTTAGGTTTAGTCTTATATTGTTGAGTAGAAGTACTAAAAATTGTTGTGAAGCTTTGAAACGTAATGATAGATTTTGTAACTAAAATCCTATTATAATTATGAGTAAGAAAATTATATTTTATAGATACTTATGTGTACCTTTCAAGGCAACGTTAAGTTAGTTATATGCCTGAGTATTACATTGGCCTTTGTATTTAAATTAAGCTTCCTCAAGGGGCATACAGCACTTGTGCTTCGAAACAGGTTGATGACGTGTAATGAATCTTTAATGCCATTAAGTAGAAAGCTCAATGAGGCCGAAGATAGTTCTTGCACCGACCACGAGATCGCGCTGGGTGTGCTATCATTCCTGCTCGTGAATTACGTCAGTGAAAAGGAAGTGATGAAATGTTCTCCAGCAAGCTTTTCATCAACAGCAAAATTTGGACTAATTTATTTTTCACTTCTTGTTACTTTATTACATAATTTCACAATAAAGTTTCTTATCATGTTTTTTTTGATTTCATAATGTTGTACAAAGCACCCATTGTAAATTTTTGCTCGTCACTTTCTATGACATGGGTATATTTTTTTGGTATGTGCTTATATAATAAATACTAACTTCTGAGAAAATATATAAAAACTATACCAAACACATCTTTCGAAATTATAGATCATGCACAATTTATCTAAAATTTAGCAGAGCACGAAGAGTGCTACAATCTCTTGGAATTTGTTTAGTTATTACTAATTAGGAAGAAATGCATTTTATATTGGAAATTATATGTTTTAATAATTTATAAACGCTTCTGCATTCTGTTCAAATATAATATTGTTTCATTATAAGACAGAACCGCTCTAATTCCTTTACACTCTTTGGGTAACGCAAAGTATGTTCATAGTTTGGCGTTTTATAGTTCTGTTCATCGTATTCACACATTGTTATAGACAGGATTTGACACATGTAACTTGGAGAGGGACTCAAATTCAGTTTGTACTCCCACGTTAACGCGTTAAAGAATTATTATTAGAAGAATATTTAGAGTATGAATTTCTTCATGAAATGCCGTCAGCTCTGACTTATTTGGACAATCAATATTTTGGAATTGCTGTGAATGAATTGGATAAAATTACAAATAAATATTGGAGGTAGCTTTGTTCTACGTCGGCGCCATCCTTGTATTCGGTGTGTCCTTCCACTTCATCCTCATGCGCACGTGTTGCCCAACCATGTGCTTCGATTGTGTAGGCCTGCCAGTAACGTCATAGGGGGCAAAACAGAGCGAACGATTATGTGTGCCGAGAGACCTTTTGAGATTCACGTCCGGAAGGAAGAACGTCATCTCGTGTGGCTGTTCACATCCACCATACACAAGCACATTGCTGAAACTCACAGTGATTACATGAGAATTCTGGAAAATATAGTGTTTACGTTTGTAGTGATAAACGAATTAACAGACCCATCAGTAAGATACGAAAATGATAATTTCTTTGGTATATTGATTTACCAATAGGTGAATAAATCTAAACTGTGTTCACATTTAGCAGAGTTTTCCACATTCTCCTACAACTCTTCAATAGACATCAGTCGCCAAGAGGCATTTGCCATTTAGCATAAAACACCAAGTCTACTGTAAGACACAACTTCCTTAACAACATAACGGACAACAGACTTATGTGAATGAATCTCGCATGCATGATTCTCAGAACGTTTTCAAGCCTCTCCTTCCAGAAGAGCCGCTTGTTCCCTTGCGTGAACCGGAAAGCGAAAGCAGGCGTGTAAGAGAGCGTGGATGGCAGATGCACAGATAAGCGACCAAAATAGGTTTTTCGCACTCTCACTTACGCGGTTCTTTTTAGTCACACACGTTTATGATTTACACACGATAAAATCATAGTATTACTGTAGTAGCCTGTTGTTTTTCATGAACTAATAAATATCGTATAATGGAAATATTATAAGGAATCGAGAGGATTTGAGGCTTCAAAAGTTCTACGTTTGTTGTTTTACATTAAAGAAATTCTTTGTAATTTTATCTTTGAAACAAAACCAATTTTATTGACTTACGTCCACGCCAATTTATTTTTTAAAATATGAAGTAAACATTGGAAGGAAGGGGACACGACTGTCAGTTCTCAGCTCGCATTCTGTGTCGGTTTTCACTTGTATTTTTTTTTTCATTCACTCATAATTTCTTGCGTTTGTATCGAGTCATAACAGATGCAGGGTTGCAAGTCAAACAAATGATCACGAAACTCTCTATTGTACGTGTTTACTTTTGTGGTTAAGCGCGAGTTACTTACGATTGATAATCCTGCACATGGGCTTGGATTGTTTAGGAAAATTTGAACTATACGTAAGTTTAATATTTTTACACATAAAAACATTTTCTCCCAAGCCTAGGAAGTGGAAAACCTCAAACGTTTTAGAGCTAATAATTATCTTATTATATTCACATTGAATTATTCTGAGTAAAATATGGACATGAATTAAATATTAAGAGATATATATAACAATAAAATATGTAAGAAATAGTAGAATATTAACAAAATTATAAACTGAAATATATTTCTTTGATAGGAGTGCAAAACTTACAAAGTATGTTTAAATCTAATTCATATTCCTGACAAGTTTCAACACATTACCTCCAGTACTTATAGAGAAATTGTTTCATAAAGAAGAATCATTATTTTCCCATTATTTTTTTTTAAAATCCATTGCTTAGATATGAAGGTGCTTAGATTACGAACGTGTTCCTTGTAATTCGATCTAAGCAAACTCGTGTCCGGATCCTTCTTTTCAATTGAGAGTAGTCTGCCAGACCTGCCCTCCGCATGTATGATATGCCGTTGGATCCTCCTCCGAATCGGCGACAACACGCGAGGCGGCGGCAGCAGTGCAAACACCGCGACACGGAACAAGCGAGGCTTCCTCTGGTCTATGTCGTTCTATTTCAAGACTAGGCGCTTCGCACTGCTCTCAGTCGCGCGCACAGAACGCGAGTGCGTGTTCGCCACGTGAACAAACGGAATAATGTCTTTCGCTGGCGCTGTACCATTGGAAGAAAATGAGGAGAACGTGGCTTTGAGGCGAAGCCCGCGTAGGCTTGGAATTCCTAGGAACAAACTCGGCATTATTTACGTAAAAATAAGGAAATTAGGAAGAAACACGCCCACCAACACCAATCAGATTTTTTTACTTGCTTTCTCTCATAATTATCAATAAATGGCAGAGAAATTGATTTGGCAATTTTGAAAGTTATCAAAATTGCCACGATCTATGTAATAGAAGAACTCTTAGAGAATAATGTAATTTTAAGTACACTATATTAAGTATTGTCAGTTCATAACTTTGTTTTCTCTTTTTTCAGGTGAGTTACTATCAATATTGGTGATGGATCCGGTACCTGTAGAGAGGAATATGGAACAAGTTTAGTAAGTAAATGAGGAAATCACAAACGTGTTGGTTTCCTTGTTATATGACGTTTTCCTGTTCTCTAACAACTATACTAAGTGTTTCAACTGATATTCGCACTTCAAAATTCTAATTACATTAATATTTTTAAGATAAAGAAGTGTATGATTTCCTTTACCTGCAGCATTGTTTGAGTTATTCCCGAGGTAACCGATGAAGTCTAATACTGCATAGTCTTCGTCTAAATTCAAATCACCACCAGAAAGACGATGTAAAATGCAATCCTTCCGAACAAGGAACACGTGTTTCGCTGTAAATAATCCTTTCATGCGACGTAGATCACGGGTGTACTCTACGTAGGTTTTATTGTTCAGCTGTACACTAACAGTATTCATGTAGCAGCCATTTCCTGATTTACATCAAGCAGAATCCCGGAGTGTCAATTACAATAGCTATCTAACAGTGTCACACAATCGAAAATAGAAACCGATGATGCATTTTCCCGGAACTCATACTGCATCACTAGCATACACTCATCAGAGTGCCCGCCCACACGTTTGCGTACGCTCTCACTTTTGAGTACCATTATTTAAAGGTGGCACCATACAATGGAAACTAGATTGTGAGAAAGAAAAATATGTTTTGGGAAAAAGAGACACTGCCCTTTTTGTACGTAAATATTCAATTTTGCATACTCACTTTTCAACAGCCAAGCCACAGAACAAAGAATATGCGTACAATACAATTTGAAGAATAGATGGTGAACTTAAGATCAAACCAATAATGCTATAACAACATATATATTCTCGCACTATTTATAACTTTTGCAAATTTCGAAAATTCAGACTGTTCAACGAAACGAAAATGAGATGTGCCCCATTTGCGTTTTTTCTCTATCTAGGGGGAGGGATTATGAATAAATTTTGGAGACATTTTTGAGACAAAATTATGAATTCGTTTAAAGACATGTAAAATATTACGGCATAAATACTCCTATTATTAAATAATGTATACGAACTTATTTAAAGAAGAGAGCATTTTGAGAACATTTTAAAGGAAAAAGGTATCTACCATTAATTTCAATCTCTTACAGTCTTCATTTTTTTGCAATTATTCATTATACAATGAGTTTGCCGAAAATAAAACCTGCGCAAAACTACATCGAGAAATCTCCGATTTCTATTGCAGCATTGCAATACTTTCTTTTGAACATGGAAGTACGTTGTAAGACAAGAAATATAAAACTGTTAAAAATTGTGACGTAAGGGGGAGAAGTTCAAGGGTACTCACTTCTAGCTTCAAAGCAAACGAGGTTAATTTTGTACCTCTTCTTGGAGGATTATGATTGTACTGTTCCTTCGTACGACATTATAAATTTTGTCAACATATTTATTTGCCTAATGTTCTCATTAAACAGATTGCATTTTTTTATTTGGACCCTCATCGTCTTTCAACTTCCATAGGTACTCTCATTTCGCGTTGTAGATGACGACACAAGTAGACTAAACTGAGAGGTAATTGAGGGGTAATTTCTCATGAGCATGTTTGTGAAACTCAACCACACATCGTCCTCAACGTCCCCTTCTTTTCCCCTGGCATTTCTAAGTTTCTGGTAGTTACTTTCCATTGAGAGGCATTCACGGCAGTGGCAAATAATTTTTTTTAATTCATTGGTTTTGGATGAACTGTATTGGAATATTGACGAGAACAATATAAACAAATATTTTAACTGCTTCTTTCAGTATATTTTCATGGGTAATTAGATTTCTCGAGAGAAATTGTTCTTCGGAAAGTGAGATATGAGACAAATGAATTTTAAAACGTAGTGTTCGTGTCCATTGTTTTTATAATTATTCATAAAACGTCGGTTGTTATGTAATTCTTATTTGGGCAAAAATGTTCGTCGTCCTTACAGAGTTATGGAGTAATCTGCGTGTGTCCGAGCGTCCGAGCAGTGGGTCACTCACGCGGGACCTCCTCCAGTTCACCAATCGCGAAAAATGAGATGTCATTCGACAATCACCTGGTGGCGAACATAGCCTCTGATGCAACTCAGCCACCTGGTGGGGGCTCATTTAGAAGATTCTAACATATTTATCTAAGAAAAATATTTTTAAGCGACTAAAAGCGACTTTGGGTGACTTATATGGCCTCCAGAGGTAATCAAATGTTCATTCGATTTCTCTGGACCAGACAAATTGATTAGCAAAAATTCTGGAAAAACATGTGTTTTGATGGTGTCAACACATTGGAGAGAAGTTCTATTATTATTCTCTGTTCCTGGCACATACATGAATCGTTACATTTTGCTTCATCCGAATGATAATAATTAAATCTAATTTTATAACGAAACAAACATTTTGTATTCTAACTTTTTAAGTCCAAAAATGTACGAATCGGTCAAATACAATAAGTTTTAAAATGTATTTCATTGTGAACTTGCAAAGCGTAAAAAAACTGTTTAACAAAAGAATACCTACCGGAGATCACTCACTAAGCTAGATAAAAACAATTTGCCTATTATACTATTGTAAAACTAATTCAATGTATAACAAATCGACAATAATAGGTTTCACAATAAGATCATATAAATATTTTAAATCGTTCTAAATCATTAAAACTTAGTATCTCTTCGATAAAGTAATTAACAAAATTATTGAGTAGGTTTTAGCCTTAAACATATTCACAGTGTCGGAAAAGGAATGCTTTATGCTTTTTCAGTACCTAACGTCTCTTGTGTGTGACTTTCGTGAAATATCTCAGAACTGTTCAGAAGATTCAATTTTTTCAGAGATGAGGCCTACAGGCTCTGTTCATCCATGGTGGTAGCAGTGAATATAAAGGCATCTTTTCATAGCTTTCCATTACCCTGTGGAAATATAATTTTCTAGTGCTCTTTCTTCTTAGAAGTTACTAGAGCTTTCTCACCAGAGGCAGTGCCTCTCGTTCTGAATGCCAGGCTGTTCATTTTCCTGTATGCCTGACAGGATTCTCTTCTTCCATGATGGAAAGGTTTGTGTATTTTCAATTCCCCGTGATGGACGTATTCACATTTCTGTCATCAGTGGCTGAAAGAGGACAGCACAAGCATTGGTGCGATTAGTCATGGCTAGCTACGAACAGGAGTGGTTCATATCGCTTAGTGCTCTCAATCATGATAAATAATTTCAATCTTGAAAGTATAATTCTCAGAAGGTTCATTCAAAGGAAGTGAAAGTTCTCAAATTATAACATTTCAAACAAATGACAATAACAGTTTTCAGAAGATATATACGTTTATCCTTTTCAAAGATTCTCTGTTCGATACAATTCACATCATGTGCTAGTTTATTTTCAAATAAGCATTTAAATATTTCGTATACACGTTTAATGATGTTTTATGAAAAATGTGTTAACTGTTTCAGAAATTTTCGTTTTTGAATCGTGAATTTTAATGTTTTTGTTTCTTTCTGAAACTTTTAAAAAACACATGAATTTCTCGTGGTTCTTAAAGGCTTACTCAGTTCTTAAGCCAGATGCTATTTCTCTGGGTTCGGGTCCTAATGCATGATGTAGGAATCCCAGAGGTACCGATGCAGAAATTGAGCGGTGGCCAGCAATGCGATATTTTGCTGTTGATACAAATATGTTAGGTGCACATGAACACCTAGGTTTCTAAAATGTTTCGTGAGGTCTCTGCGAATAGTTCTTAGAGCCCTAATTACATCTGGAACAACCATGACCACCGTTTTCAAAGTAATACCTACTCTATGTGGCGATATTTCGTTATTATTATTATTATTATTATTATTATTATTATTATTATTATTATTATTATTATTATTACTTACCGCATTTTAATTACTGGAATGGGATTATGAATTGTTATTTGTATATAAGTCATTTGCATTTTTGCCGTCTGTATATTATATACAACGTTCAGTATTCAATTCATTCACACACACACACACACACACACACATCGTTCATTTTATAAATGTGGTGTAATACAAGTGCTAGATCGTCTTGTAGTATACAGTAGTCAGAAAAAGACGAGCGAATAAATCGCTAACAATTGGGCGGATCCAGAAAGTATTACGAGGGGAGGAGCAATAACATTTGGAAACAATAAAATTGGCATTTCAGATGGGAGAGCAGCCTCTTTAAGTTAAATACATTATAAATGTGTCATTAAAAATGTATTTATAGCATTTATTTTCGTGTAAATAATTTATGTAATATTATTTGCCATTCAACGTTTTCCCCCAGAACGTGGAATGGTACTTCTTATCAGAAGCGCGCGTGACATCCCGCACCCTATAAAAACAAGTATACGCGAGGCCAGTAGAGTGTGCGGGATAGTTGTCGCTAGCATCTCGGTGTGACCTGTTTACCCCCCCCCTCCGCGCCCTCATTCGCTCGAAGCCGAAGCACATGAGTGCCGCCGATTGCATTGCGCGCGACGGGCGACTCATGCAGAGCGCGCTTGCCACTACATCTCGGTGGGGCGGCGCCAGGCGTGTCTTCCGGCTCGCTTTTGCACGTCGTCGCAGGCGAGGCAGGCAAGGATCCGCGAACGGGGCGGGGCGGCTCCCACGGCCGTGAAAATAGACCGCATTTTTTCCAGAAAAACTGCCACTTCAAAGCCGCGGCGGCGTGTGCGCGGAGGCTATTTAATAGTCCGCCCTGGCTCCGGTTGGCCACCGATCAGGAGCTGGCGACCGGCGCATCCCCCCGCCCCCCTCCCCCACCGCCCAAAGCACGTGCTGGAGTGCGCAGTAGCGTCGCGCGTCTTGCGAGTGCAGCGTCTGTTCGTGTTATAATGGCGGCTTAACACGACGTTTTTTCTGAGTAAGATTCTTAGTTCAAGTCTTTATTCTCAAATCAGTTGCGCATGAGTGCACCGTCAAATTGTGTACGGGCAGATAAGACGCTGTCATTAAGTGGTCCTCGTACGGCATCCTCTTTAATGTTTGGTTTATGGTCTTATGCGGCTTCTCACATCTTTAACCCTAAATAAAACCGATGAAAAATAATTTGG